AGAGGAGAAACAATAATGTACAGTATGTGGAAAATAATGTTTTTTTTTAACCTTAAACCACAAACACATTTCATTACACCAAATACACAAAATAATGTTCGTTTTAGCAACATCATATGACCCCTTTAAAAATGTAATATACTCAAATTATGAGTACTTGATTTTTTGGAATCTGATTACGTAATCCAGATTACACGAAATCAGTTATTGCCCAGCTCTGTCAGCTAAAAGTATCAATGTTTAGGAGTACAATAGCATATAAATGGACTTTAAGCTAACATACATGTCACAAAACCTGTTGAAGAACACCAAGATCCTGTAACAACTCAGAGATTGACTCAGAAAACATGGTTATGAGCAGAGGAATTCTTGGTAATGAATCTTCAATTAATAAGAAATGACAGTACAGTTATGCCCCGATTCAGCTGACAAATTAGCTAATTCCACTGTCGCACATGATTTTTCATTTTTCTCCCTTCTTCACGCCGTTTCTCTTTCACTCTCATTAACACATGCTAACTATACACGAAGGGTGCCCGTTTGATTAGAAGAGTTCATCTTTTGCTGTGATGCATAATTTTCCATAAAAAGGAGATAAAATCTATCACAACATTCTCATCTTGTGAGACTGAGGGAAACAAAATCTAGCACCTGATAGAATATGACCCCTCCATACACCTTCACAAGTGGGCGACACCTCAGAATCACACCTCCTACTGGTTTTCTCAGTATACTGACTGCACCTGCACAGAGAGCTCAATGTCAAGCCCAAAACCTTCTGCAAACTGCGGCTTTTCTCCGAGGACTTTAAAGCGACAATCACAACCACATCCTCTTTCACTTCTTAATTTGTCTAATAATTCTGTATGCATGTACAATACATTCTTACTCAAATGTTAAAAGGTTAGTTTATCCAGAATTGAAATATCATTCTCATATAATCCCATACCTGCATTACTTTAGTGGAACACAATAGGAGTTGTTGGGTAGAATATTCTGCTATAAATTTTGGGGTTAGTAAGATTTTCTTTCTCTTTTTTTTCCCCAAGAAATTAATAATTTTATTCAGCAAGGATGCATTAAATTTATTAAAATCGACAAAAAAGTAATTGAAAGCTGTTCTTTTGAACTTCCTTTTGATTAAAAAAAATCCTGAAAAAAAATTATAATAAGACAATCAGCATATTAGAATGATTTCTGAAGGATCATATGACCCTGAAGACTGGAGTAATGGCTGATAAAATTCAGCTTTGCCATCAAAAGAATACAAATTATATTAAAATAGAAAAAAGTCATTTTTAAAAAATCTTATCTTATCAACTTGAATTTCTGTCTGTTAGCTATCATATGACTTGACATATATGGTGATTTGAAATATAGCATACAAGTTGTATGGACTAGTTTTACAGCGCTTATTTGTCATTTTAATGCGTTTGTATTTTTTTTTTATTGTACAGAAAATAGCGGTATAAATATTCTACCAATTCTTCTTGTTTCTCACAGAAGAAAATATAGTCATATGGGTTCGGAATGACATGAGGATGAGTAAATGGCAGTAAATAACAGGATTTTCATTTTTTGGGTGAACTAATCCTCTAAAAGTATTGCATAATGACAGCGGTTCAGATTGACAGACTGCTTAACTGCTCCTACATCACCTCTCGTGACTTCAGTCTCCAAGCATCAAATCTGACACTTTGATTGGTGATCCTCTTCATTTAAAAAAATAAATAAAAAGATCAATAGTATTCTCCTCTCAGCATGCATCAATCATACCCAAAATTAGCGTCTGACCGCTGTGGATGAAGACCAGAGTCTTCTCACCTTCACTTTCAAAGAAATGCCAAACCAAAAAAGTTCAAACATGCCAACCTGTTTAGACCATGTCAAACTGTACAAAACGTATCATAAATCACCATCAGCAACTTAAACCTTATATTTTCCTGAATGCTGTTTGCAAACCTAAGCCTTACAAACAAATCACCCTGTCCAAAACCGCACTTAAGTATTTTTACAATTGAAACATCTGACTCACACCCACTAGTTTTTGAGCAGGTTTCGGAAGACACACACATGAGTCTTGACACGTCTGAACATACCACACGTATAACGCAAGAGCTGCTGAGACACTAACAGGTAAGTGCAGATCTTTCAGGGAGGAAGAGGGAAAACTTTGAAGCAAACTGCTGAGGGAAATGCAAAACATGTTTCTGAGACTGAACTGGATAGACCTACCCAATCATACATTTGACTTACCGGACACCATTATTTACCTTATATACTTGTCCGTAGGTCCCATTTCCCACAAGCTCCACCAGCTCAAATATGCCCGCAGGGTCCTGAGGGGAGAAAATAATAGAAGAGGAGATTAGCTTGCATTATCCTGTCATTGAACATCAAGGAGAATCACACATACTGTATACATTGAGGTCATCATAAATGCTGACACTGCAGTCATTAGACCTAACAAAGCATGTCAATTAAAGTTAAATCTGTTTGCACATTGAACATAAAAACCTATTAAGGTATCCAGTGAGCCAAAGCCAGAAAATTAATTTTGAAACAAACACTGAGGCTAAATTAGGTCCTATTTCCTGCAAATTAAAACAACTTAATTTTTTTTACCAGAATTTTTTTCTAATCTCAAAGCAAATAATATTCAGTATTTTCATACCAATAATCAGTTAACAGTGTGCTATTATGCAGAAAATTCTGCCTTATTGGAAATGTCTGCAATCATGCCTGACGTTGAAATTATTAAAGATATTTTTAGCACAAGAACCAATAATATCTACCTGACTGTGCCGTTTCTATTTAAAAGTGCTGGCAAACCACAATGTGTTGGTGGGGATATAAAAAGCCAACAAGAATGAAATCAGATCACTCTTACTTTTCATTTTCATTTAATAAAACTAAAGCAGTTACCAGAACTGTCAAGAGTTCAATTCAGCTCCAACAAGCATGATGCTCATGAAAATAAGCACGACCAATAAATAATGCAATACACCTGGAACAATAAGCAAGACATGTTGCCATGGTAATCTGACAATAGCTGCCATTCCTGTCACCAGAGGGGTAATTTATGAAATATGGTTCAGTGAATTCACAAAAATGTGCATAACCGCTTAAAACAAAACGAGGGGATGAAGCTGGCGGAACATTTACGATGGATTCAGGTTTATTTAGGTGAATATAAATTTAATGAATGTAATGTTCAGAAAGAACGAGGTGTGTGTAACTAAAAAAACAGTGGTAATACTATGGGATTTGGATACTACCATAATTGGTATCTTGGAGAAAGGTGTAATCGAAAAAGTCCATTTATCGACGGCCCTGCCTTGAAGTGCAATATCAGCACCTACACTCTTGACCAATGAGAATCTCAGGGAGATCCAATATACTTTGGGAAATCCAATTCGCTGTATTCCCACTAACTCTCAAACATTCACCGTCGTTGTCACTTTTTCTGCTAAATGCTCTAAATACCTTGGTACATAAATGCAGAAATCATACAGTATCATGGTATACACTACCGTTTAAAAGTCTGGGGTCAGTAAGATTTTTTTAAGCAAATTAATACTTATTTAGCAAGAATGCATTAATTACATAAAAATGAGAGTAAAGACATTTACAATGTTAAAAAAAGGTTTATATATCAAATAAAAACTGCTCTTTTTAAATATCTGTTAATCAAAGAATCCTTAAAAGTGCATCACAGTTTCCACAAAAATTAAACAACACAACAGTTTTTGACATTGATAAGAATTTTTCTGAGCAGAAAATGTGCATATTAGAATGATTTCTGAAGGATCATCAGGTAATAAAACTAAAGGAGTCACCAGAACTGTCAGAGTTCAATTCAGCTCCAACAAGCATGATGCTCATGAAAATAAGCACGACCAATAAATAATGCAATACACCTGGAACAATAAGCAAGACATGTTGCCATGGTAATCTGACAATAGCTGCCATTCCTGTCACCAGAGGGGTAATTTATGAAATATGGTTCAGTGAATTCACAAAAATGTGCATAACCGCTTAAAACAAAACGAGGGGATGAAGCTGGCGGAACATTTACGATGGATTCAGGTTTATTTAGGTGAATATAAATTTAATGAATGTAATGTTCAGAAAGAACGAGGTGTGTGTAACTAAAAAAACAGTGGTAATACTATGGGATTTGGATACTACCATAATTGGTATCTTGGAGAAAGGTGTAATCGAAAAAGTCCATTTATCGACGGCCCTGCCTTGAAGTGCAATATCAGCACCTACACTCTTGACCAATGAGAATCTCAGGGAGATCCAATATACTTTGGGAAATCCAATTCGCTGTATTCCCACTAACTCTCAAACATTCACCGTCACTGTCACTTTTTCTGCTAAATGCTCTAAATACCTTGGTACATAAATACAGAAATCATACAGTATCATGGTATACACTACCGTTTAAAAGTCTGGGGTCAGTAAGATTTTTTTAAGCAAATTAATACTTATTTAGCAAGAATGCATTAATTACATAAAAATGAGAGTAAAGACATTTACAATGTTAAAAAAAGGTTTATATATCAAATAAAAACTGCTCTTTTTAAATATCTGTTAATCAAAGAATCCTTAAAAGTGCATCACAGTTTCCACAAAAATTAAACAACACAACAGTTTTTGACATTGATAAGAATTTTTCTGAGCAGAAAATGTGCATATTAGAATGATTTCTGAAGGATCATGTGACACTGAAGACTGGAGTAATGATGCTGAAAATTCAGCTTTGTCATAACAGGAATTAATTACATTTTAAAATAGAAAACAGTTATTCTAAATTGTTATGATATTTCACAATATTACTGTTTTGACTGTATTTTTGATCAAATAAATGATGTCCTGTTAAGCATTAGAGACTTCTTTAAAAAAAATTATAAATATTACCAACACCAAACTATCTGATTACCTTTGGATATACTACAAAAATCATTTTCACATATTTATATCGTTTTCCAATAACAATATCTAATACCATGACACCCACCCCCCCTAAAGTACTTTTCAGAATAATTTCTTCTCTTACATCTGCAGACTCAAGAATCAAAATACTCAACGTCACTGCTGCCGGTTGTGAGTGGAAACCCCATCAATCTCTCTGCTGCTCTGAGACCCGACGGAACATGAGCTTCCCGAAAATACACACCTGCACCGTACCTGCAGGAACATCATCTTCCTGTGATTTTTTTTTTTTTTTTTAAATAAACACTCACGTATCTATCTTACATAACTCAAGCATATGCCTGTACCTGCATGACACTTTGTTCCTGAAATAAGACTGTGAAAACGTACAGTTCTTTACAGAGAAACACACTGGAGAAAGGAAGGGTGTATATATGCTTAACATCTATTTTGGGAATGCTTTGAGACGTTTGCCCTCTCGAACAGAATGTTTAGTCTCCAAAACACATTCGTACAGATGGACAGGCATGGGGGAAAACTGCTGACTAAAATGAGACCACCACATTCTGCTTACGAATGTAAAGTTACAAGAAGATGCTTAAAGTGGCGCATGTTTCTCCAGGCATTCAGCAGTTTTAAATGATACACCATTACTTCTGTTGCTTCCGTTACAGGAAAATAACACAATGAGTCAGACTGTTTTTCAAGCAAGTTCACATTTCTCATGAAAAGACACCTCAGGCATCAGGCTAACATTGACGGAGTACACCAGCAGTCCACATCAGTGCAAATGGAGCACCCGCTGTATTTTTTCCTTTTATTGTCTCTATAGGGATTAAAAAAAACTTTAATAAACTAAGCTATGAACCAAACCAGACAGCTTTGAGATGATTCACAATATTGCTGATGATTCGCAAAAAACAAAACAAAAAAACAAAACCTGAAAATATAAGAAAGGGACAATTTGTACTGTAATATAACTGAATAAAATAAACATTAGGCTATATTTTAAAAAGACAATATACTGTATAATATATATATTATAATATAATGAAGTTTTACAATATACAATATATTCTTTATTAGTTTAATATAAAACAAAATAATATTTTAATGTTTTTGAAAGAATGCAGCTTACCAAGGCTGCATTTATTTGATAAAATTCGATCATTTAGTCAATAGGTAAAAATATGTTTTTAATATTCAATTAAAAAGATTTTCTAAAATTCTTTTTTTTTTAAAGTTACTTATGCTCACCAAGTCTGCATTTATTTGATGAAAAATACAGTAAAAACTCCTAAAATTTAGGTAAAATCGAGGTAACAATGGAGTTCATAGTAGGTCTATCTCAAAAGGTTTAAGTGTTATTTAAAAAAAATTTTATTTCTCTATGGATAAAATGAATAGGAATTTACTAGGACTTGTTTTTAAACTCCAATGTGTGAGATACATGAATTACAGTGTCTAAGAATTCCCAGTTTAACCAACAGAATATTTGCAACTTCACAGGGCGGAAACATACTCTACACAAATGCAGACATGAGGGCTTGGCTCATGCATTGAGGGCGTGTAGTTTTGTTCCTCATGCTTCATGTGAATTCTTCCATTACTGTCACAATAACAATTATTCAACCGAGTTAGCTTCAAATGCCATTAAATCAGTATTTAGGTTATTCAGGTAAACATTTTAACTCAGTTAGTTACTTTTTAAACTGTTGCTCTGCCATAAAAGTAGTTGACCTAAAAGAGAAAACTTATGTAAAGTTTGCAATAACACTGAGAATGCAACTTGTGCATTGTGATATGAATTTCACAGACAAATTTCATAAAGCAACAGACATAAAACTGAGCTTTTTGTGCATAAAACTACCACTTTACTTTTTCTGAAGTAGTGTAGTTTTGAGGACAAGGTACCATAGTAATATAATGGAAATGGCACAGTATATAGCAATCCCGAAACGGAATCAAAGCATGCTTCAGTCACACTAAAGCTTTAAACCCCACCTGTGTCATTAGCATTTTGGCAGGGCCAATTCCATAAGGACCATAAGTTAAGTGGTCCACTCTTTGAGTGGGAGGCCATTCACTTGATCTCTTGAAAACACCACTAAGGAAGGGGCCCGTCTGCAAAGCTCTGAAGTGCTGAATGTTAAGCTTTTAATTAGAAGTTCTGGTTTTGTACAATGTAATGTCCTTCTTTAGTAAAACTTGCATGACTTGCAGCAAATTCAGGTGAAAACTTTATGCGATTTATACCTAGTATGTGTTGTGTGGGATTTGTATGAACATAACTAAACAAAAAAATACATTAACTAGAACAAAGCCCTGAACCGTCTTTAGTATTAGTACACTCCGAGTCGTTGTAAATTGAACTAAACTAATCTGAGCTCTCCAATGGAGAAGTTGCATGTAAACAAACCCCTATAGTGTAGAGCCATGTGACCGTGCTGTTTGTATTAGAAAGCCGTCTTCAAAGGATCTTCTGAAAGACCATTGGAGGTTAGAGCATGTTTAGACATGCCATGTTAAATGACAGCATTGCAGCTCTGCACAGCCAAGAACAGAGCGCCTGATAAACAACAATATACCTGAGAGGGGAACCCATTGACCGGGGCAATACAGTAATCCAACACTAGCAATTACATTTCTTGTTAATCCCCACGCAATTAATCACCAGCTGTAAGAAAATCCAGGCGTAAAGGAATAGTTCACCCAAAAATGAAATTCCAGTCATCATTTCCTCACTTTCATGTCTTTCCAAAACCGTATTCCTTTTTTTTTATTCCATGAAACATAAAACAGACTGTTTTTTTTTCCATATAATGAAAGATCAGGGCTCAAAAATGACCGTAGATGTCAATGCGCTAGAAGTAGATATGCACTATCAAGTCACAAACAACAGCATTTTGAGAGGAAGAAAGTGAACTTTCAAGTCAATATTCATTGGAAATTTTTCCTCTCGCATCAGACATCAATGATGCCACATGTCATTGGCTCTCTCATGTCACATGACCAAGTGAGGCCAAGAGCAAATGAGATATGAGCACTCATTACACAAAATAAAGGTTCCAAATGGTGTTCGCAGCGATGCCAAAAAATAACCATTTTTGGTTCCCCAAAGACCTTTCAGTGAACAGTTCTTATTCAAATTCATTATATGGAAACAGCAGCATCAACAATCTGCTAAACGTCTTCTACTGAAGAAAAAGACATATGGGTTTAGAACAACATATGTGTCAGGAAATGATAACAGAAATTTCTTTTTTTTGGTGAAATATTACTACAAGATACCACAGATATTTCCAAGCAGAAAAGTACAACCCAAAACAAAGACATATTATTTTTCTGTACCAAACAAAACCGCTATAACAAAAAACCACTGGGTTTACTGATTCATACAACATGCTCAATCTGGGAAAAACATAACAAAAAATTATTTCCATTAAAGGAAACTTCTCCCACATATAAACACATTATTGCTTCTTTACAGTGATTCATTCACCAACATTTACTCAGTGATGAGGAGGTTATGATGAACGATTGCTCTTCGGTGATAACAGCACTGATAATCTTCCCACTTGCAGGAGGGTAAGAATTAGCTTTTCATATGCACTTCTATTAAGCCCCGGAGCACAAGAGGCGGATGCTGCTGGCCAGAATCATGAGACAAGGAAAAGACGAAAAACACTGGCTGACATCTACAGCTGGGACTCCCCCCGCCCCCTTGACATGACTCTGGGATGTAATAGTCCTTTACCTATTAATTATTCACAGGGAAAAACATGAGGCTGGAACTATATGTTAGTTCTTCCATACTGACAAAACAGGTTGAATGTACACACATGCACACACACACTTATGTAAAATTAATATGCAAATGGCAACATGGAATGCTCCCATAATGCACTGCTCAGAGACACCAGTCATTGTGGTTCAGAGTCATTGTGGTTCATTTAAAATGCTATTATAGTGTTTATTTTGCTATGCTAACAGGCTATAATAGTATTTTATAATATGCTATTATAGTATTTATTAATATTTTGAATTAGTTTTATTTTTGTTGAATATGAAAGATGATATTCTGTACTGTCAGTGGGGACCAAAACAACATTGGACCCCATTTACTTCCATAGTACACACTACACACACACAAAAAAAAAACATTTTTTCAATATCTTATTTTATGTTCCACAGAAGAAAGTCATATAGGTTTGGAATGACATGGGGATGAGTAAATCATGACCGAATCAAAGGTAAATAAATGTTCTTGTCAAAGGTTAACGTGATGTAAAGTTCAGTAAAACTATCTGCTGGGACTCATGCGCTATATATGTAGCACCAAGCACATTGTCAAGATCTGTGTCAGTGAAACAAAGCGTACACTTCCCCTGTGAGGCAAGACCATGCACACTGTATTGGGTGACCTAATTTTTAAGCACAAAAGATCCTGAGAGAGTGGCGAGCTCGTGAGCAGACATGAGGAAAATAGCTTTGCCCATGGGTAGCGGTGAGGGGGAAGAAAGCATTAAAGATACCTCAACATGGAGAGACACGGGAAAGCTTGAGAGGGCCGCTGTACTGTTTCTGAGTCTAGAGAGTGTCTCAAATGCCAAACGCCTACACAGCGATGTAAACACAGACATGGTCACTCAAGACGGCAGTCAGGCATGGTGAGTGGTTTCCACAGTTCAACCAAACCAAACCGAAACGACAGATAAAACTCTGACTAATTCAGAGGAAACTTTCCATTCATAATGCACAAGTCTGAAAATGTTTTCAGTAAATTCTGAGCCATATGATGCAATGGCATTGAAAACATTCAGGTGATGGTAAACAGTCACAGGTTAGCTGCAATCTAAACTGCTTCACATTGCAATATAGAGTAAAACCCTTCTCAGCTTCCCACAATCAACCGATTACCTCACAAATCATGTCCAGACATGACTCAAGCTGCACAGGTAAGATCATGCTGCATAACTAACATGCCTACAGTCAGAGTCTGTCATCTCACTCAACAGATCTAACATAAGCCCACAGCAGGAGCACATTGTCTGTGTGGAATAGCACTACTGCAGCATTCAGAGACTCCGCACAGATCATATAGAGCGCCTAGAAACTAGAGCGTCTGAAACAAAGAGCAAGCACGGAGCAGGTCAGCATTTCCGCAGAATTTTGTTTACAAGTTTTGAAAACATGTTCTAACATCCAACGTAATTTGATGTTGTGATGAAACAGAAGTAGTGACAAATCTTTTCTTCTGTATGTTGATGCACAACTGAGTGTAACGGATTATTGAAAAAGAAAAACATAAGGCGGAGCCTTGGTTCTATGAATCTGCTGCCTGATTGGATTTTGAGGAACGTAAAGTTCAAACGCAACATATGGGATGTCATTTTGAACATAGTACACTTTTCAATCCATTCATTCGCACATGAATGCAGGTTACCAGAAAGAAACACAAGCTCGTGCAAAGAAGTTTCTCCGCTTGCTGCGTTCCAAGGTTCAAGTTTGGTTAAAGTGTGAAGCCATGTGCCCAAATAAAATATTGATACGTCACAGCATGAGCACAAAATTAAAAGCTGCGGGTTTGCAGAGTTGCAGGGAAGTGGAGTGCATTGTATATTTTTGCATTTTGGATTTATTATTACTAGTTCTAAGTAGAATTTATGTATTTAAAAAAGACACAGCAGAGCGTGATGTCATGCAGAGAACAGTGCAATTCATAATTTTGCATGCTCAAAGTCTAGCATGACCAACCCTTTGATCTTTCTAGAATCAGACGAATTTGAAATTTTACTTTATCTCACCTCCTGATCCTTGTACTTTTCCATTGCTCAGCGAAATCCAGTCATTCCTGTGCAACCTGGACTTCTGCACGAGGTTGAAGAAGTTCCCAGACGTCACACATTTTCAAGTTGGTCACATGAATTTGCTATGTTGACCAACAGAAAACTGCTCGTCTTGAATGTGACTTCTGTCTGAGCTGTGCTTTTATACATCTCTGCCCTATTGCCAATAAACAATAGACTGAAATGTGACCAAGTCTTGCCAGACTCAGACAAATATGAAACTGCATTTTATCCTGCCTCCTGGCACTCCTACGTTGACTCCTGGTTTGAGTCCAGCAGATTTAAGGGCCAGTGATTTTTCCTGTTGGTGGGCAAGGGGAACTAAGTACCCATCAAGCAGAGCATCCGAAAACCAAGGAACTCATCATCCAGACCACACAGAGAAGCCCAGAACTCGCAGGATCCAGAGCAGCCCAGCACACACCGCTCTGACCACCCAGCCAGAGAATGTATGTCACAGAGAAATCATCTCAAACAGACAGAACAAAAGACAGACAGACAAACAGAAGCTACATATTCAACACAATACGTGCACATGTTTGGCACTGAACTATATAGTAGGCTATATCATTATCATATAATGGCGGGGACAAGAAGTGAAGCTGTCTGCAATGCACACATTGCTATTTATTATAGGCCTCATACAGCATAGGGCAGTTGTGGCGGATGAATACCAGATACAGTCTGTATGTATCAGCTATAATTTCATTTAGACGCAAAAAAACGACAAACTGCTCACAAATCTGACAAACAAAATGACCATACTCACTTGGGCCATCTCAGTCACATTAAGGATAAAAATGAAGGACTAATGTTTATTGAATAGGATGTTTCAATTATTGTTCACACATTCATGCCGCATAAGCAAGAACTCCAGACGAATTGTGTAGTAATAATAAAATAATTTTTCTAATTTCATCAGATGCTTGTGAACATATAGTGCATCTCTCAGTCACATTAAGGATAAAAATGAAGGACTAATGTTTATTGAATAGGATGTTTCAATTATTGTTCACACATTCATGCCGCATAAGAACTCCAGACGAATTGTGTAGTAATAATAAAATAATTTTTCTAATTTCATCAGATGCTCGTGAACATATAGTGCATCTCTGTGTTAAAAAATATTTTATAAAATATGTATATATTTCACATTTCTAATAATAAAACATCTCTACTTATGTCTAAAATAAGCATAGATCTAATAATGCAATATTTCTAATAATACTAAAACCGTTCGTGCATCTCTAAGCTGTTTCTCGGTCAGGTGCATGAATATCAGCTCCCATACTTCCCCTCCATCATTAATGGCGAGATGCTGAACAATATATTTCACCCATTGTAAGTCAAAACATCTCACTGTATCTCTCCACTCACCCGCAGAGCAGACAGGTCGATCTCATCCAGACTCCTCGCAGGAGAGTCACTCGCCATGATTATCTGTTATATTCAACAATATAATGCCCGAAATAACATGAATACAGACGCCGAACTGATCCGTGTAATACACCAAGCAGGCTGGATTGACTTCAGTCGGACCAGATGAAGCTCCCGGATGGTGCAGAGTCGCTGTTCTTCGCGAGTCCGGGTGTTTAAACCCGAATTAGCCGCTATATGGTTGCATGTAAAGGAGACATCTCGTGCTTGTAACCGATGATCTGTTGCCGCACGAGTCCAGAAAGCACCAGCGCGCCAGGGGACGTGAATCAGGGCTCGGGCGAAGGCGTGTCAATCATCAGTGTTTCTAGGGCGTGGCCTGAGTGAAAGGCGGGGCCAAACTCACTATTTTACTCCAACAGACACGACTTATAATAAGAGCACATATAATTGCGTAAAATTACACTCACACACACACACACATTTCTTCAAGTAGCTAGATTTAACCACAAATTACTCCAACAGACACGACTTATAATAAGAGCACATATAATTGCGTAAAATTACACTCACACACACACACACACATTTCTTCAAGTAGCTAGATTTAACCACAATGCTTACTAATAAACCATAAACTGCTAATCACAAAAACCAGAGTAACCCTGCTGTAGCACACACACAATAAAAAACAACAACAAAAAAAACGCTATAACCAGTCTGAGCTGTTGGCTGAAGTAGCTGGTTTTACCTGGTGTCCCAGCCTGGCTGAGCTGGTCAAGCTGGTCTCTCAGCCTGGCCAAGCTGGTTTTAGCTGGTTAGTCAGTGGTCTGCCAGCCTGACCAACTACAGAATTGGTCAAAACACCTTTAAAACCTGCCTGCAAAACAGCTATGACTAGGAGCCAACCAGCTGGTTTTAGCATAGGGTTTTTTAGGTTTCAGTAGAATAAGCACCAACCCAGGGGCCAGTTGCATAAACACAGTCACCATGTTAAGACTCTGTCTTAAGAACACCCTAGCAACCAACATAAGAATGTTAAAACCTCTCAGAACACCTTAGAAACCACATAGCAACTCCCTTGAATTGTGACAGCGAGTTGTGAACGGAAAACCACTACTAAAATTTGTTGCAGATAATGTATAGCTGTTGTTGTTAATGTGATTATGTGCATGTATTGAGCAGCTTATAATGTGTAAGAGCAGTCAGAAACAGGAAGCCACATTTCAGACAGTGAGTGAGACAGTGAGCCACAAACAGCACATTTCATTTCACCTTCCGTTTATATAAGCAGCACGATTTATAAAACACATCACCTTCCCCCACACCACCTTCCTCTCGCATTCGCCTTGGCAGAAAACATCCTCTCTGACACACTCAGTCTGTCATAACGGCAGCCCCATTCAGTGTTGTGAGCTCGGCAACATTTCACAATTGGTTTCCTTGATAACACACGTACATCACGGAGACGTCTATGTTTATGATTTAGAATGTATGTAAAACTGGCATCTTAAAGACGTCTATCAGATGTTTGTACACAGCAGATGCTTCCTTGATGAAGCGATCTTTAACAGACATCTTGCAGATAGATGTACGTGTGCTGTCTGGGTTGGAATGGGGTTAAATTCCTTGCTGAGACAGTGTGGCAATGATCCATTTACATGTGTGTTTTTCTATCTATCCATTTGTCTATCTATCAATAGATCCTATATAATAAGATATAGGTCCCATATAATATGATATAATATATAGGTCCTATACATAGTCTGCATCCGTTTGTATAGCTATATATGTAGTATGTTTATCTACAGTATCTATCTGTTATCCTGCATATCAATTTGTCCATCTCTTTGTCTTTCAATAAATTTGTATCTATCTGTCTGTCTATACATTTATCTATCTGTCTGTCTATCAGTTTATTTATCTATCTACAAATGAATGACATAGTACTGCAGTGAATAGTGCTCCATCTAGTGGTGGATGTGTGAAATCATTCAGTCAGAAATGAAACTTAATGGGGATATTAATTTTACTGAAGGAATTTTGTGCTGAATGGGGGAACTCAAAATATAACACAAATTATTCTGCCAGAACTGACAGTTTCCTTAGAGATTATGTAAAAATACACACAAATGTGCCTTACAGGAGTCTTGAAATCATACTCTGTTCCTTTTTAAAACATCTTGTTTGTAAAAATCCATGTTTCTCCACAGTGAATTCCTGTCAAGCATTCAGCCAGTGTGAAGCCTCCCTTGCGCAATAGCTTTCATCTTATCAACAAAGACTCTGTGTGTGTGCTACATTTCTCTCATTCCCCTTTGCTATTTACTACAAGACGGCTTTGTTCCTCAGTGACTTTTGCCTGTAAAAACAGGCCGTTTTTGTGTACTTGAAAACCTGATTGGGTTCTTGCGCTTTAAAGCGCTATCTGTTGCAACTGCACTATTATCATTAGCACTGCCTGTGAGAAAATGTTTTGTGCTGACAATGCAGTCAACCCCATTGCAGTGGTTTGTGCAATAGCCTGCCTTTATGATAAGATCCTTTGTATTTGTGTGGCTTAGCCTGATCACATTACATGCCTTCAAGCCAGATTTGCTTCCATTCATCATCGTCACTGTTGTTTAGATTTTCTCTGAAGATTTGAGGAAAAGGGCGATTATCTTTCTTTCCCAGTGTCTAATGGACAGTGACTTAGCTAAAAGTGTTAGCAGAACAAAATCATTCACACACATATCATTAAAGACTTTGGTAGAATTATGGCGTCTGGCACGTGTATGTTCAGAGATATTTATTAGGAGTGAAACCCATCTGTGGATATTATTTTCATTTGTGGATTCCCCTGAAGAATGAAGTAGGTTAATCAGGCCTATTACAATAAATGTGAGGTTCTTGAAACAGCGTCATGTGGATGTGGAAAAAAAATAAATAAATAGAAGAGTGTATCAAGGAAAAGGAAGCTGAGTATTAATGTCCTTTTTGAAGAATCTTTAAATGACCCCAGTGAGGATTTGACTCATCCTTGTGTGAAAATATTGCACCAAACCCTCTTCCTGGGGTTTACAAATCAATATATTTAAACACCTGGTCACATTTTAAACCTGATAAAAAATTATCTAACTTTTTTTATTGTAACAAAAAGGCTCACAGGCACATCTGAGGATTTTTGAAACAATGTTCAAACGTGCATGAGCTTGAGCACAGAACGACATGCTTAGTAATCCTGGCCTTTATCTCTCTTTCTCATTTCTTTTCAGTCAGACAGAAATGACACTTTGTGTATGGGCTTGTTCTCTACAATATCAGAGACCTGCTCAAGGCAAACTTGAGGCCAGTTATGATACCATCATTCTAATAACAGAACATTTATACACTGAAACTGCAGCTAATTTATTATCAATTTGACAGTGAAATGTAATATTTGTATGTGAGATTAAAGATTCCAAACTCACTCATCAGGTTTTATAGCTTTATAATTGCACTGGTGAGTTTCTCCCATGTGACGTCGAATGATGTGATATGTGCACTATGTGAGAGGTAGGCCAAAGGTCAGGAGATTGTATCAGGCACTGTTGCTCAGCTGTAGATCACAGACCACAGTCTGCAGGGAACATGACAGCTGTACATATCCCAAAGAAACACACGTACACATTGCCACACAGACCACTGAGACAGTAAGACAGTGTTCACACATTCAGTCATTCATTATCAGACACCCCAGAGACACACACACACGCACACACACACAGTCAGCCGCAGAACAGACATGATGTTCCAATCAACCATGTGTGCAGTAAATCCCAACACTCTGATAATAGACCAGGTGTGGGCAAACTTGGCCCTCCGAGGCCACTTTCCTTCAGAGGTTAGCTCCAACCCTAATCAAACACATCTGAACCAGCTAATTATTGTCTTCAAGACTACTAGAAGGCTACAGGCAGGTGAGTTTTTTCAGGGTTGGATCAAATCTCTGCAGGAAAGTGGCCTGGAAGGGTCAAGTTTGCCCATCACTGTAACGTAACGTAACAGACAGACAGACACTGCACATGGATAGATAAATAGACAGATACTGCACATAAATATATAGACAGACAGACACTGTAGATGGATAGATAAATAGATAGATACTACGGATAGATAAATATATAGACAGACAGACAAATATATAGACAGCCATATATAAATGATAGACAACTGGATAGACAGAAAAACAGTTAAACAAATGGACAGACCGACAGATAGATACTGTAGAAAGATACAAAGACAGACAGACAGACAGACAGATAGATAGATAGATAGATAGACAGACAGATAGATACTGCACATGGATAAATAGACAGATACTGCAGATAAATATATAGACAGATAGACAAATATATAGACAGCCATATATAAATGATAGATAGACAAATTGATAGACAGAAAAACACAGTTAAACAAATGGACAGACCGACAGATAGATACTGTAGAAAGATACATACAAAGACAGACAGACAGATAGATAGATAGACATAGATAGATACTGCACATGGATAGATAAATAGACAGATACTGCAGATAAATATATAGACAGACAGACAGATACTGTAGATGGATAAATATATAGACAAACAGATAGACAGACAGACAAATATATAGACAGCCATATATAAATGATAAACAAATGGATAGACAGAAAAACACAGTTAAAACAAATGGACAGACCGACAGATAGATACAGTAGAAAGATACATACAAAGACAGACAGACAGACAGACAGACAGATAGATAGATAGATAGACAGACAGACGGATAGACAGAAATACATTATATTGAACGAATGGATGATACAGCCATATAAAGATAGATAGACAGAAAGATACTGTAGACAGATACATAAACAGATAGATCAACCTACAGAAGACTCAGTAGTGTGAAAATCATGGTTTAATCATCTTCTATAACATCAATTCACATGTTTCATAAACATCCAAACGATACATATTTTGTGCAAAAATGCAATTCATGGGGAGTAAAAAGACATGAGGAAAAGAAAACAAAAAGAGAACAGAAATCAGTTTCTGAACTACTATAAAAGTGCAGATACACAGTCAACAGTGCAGACATTTGAGTGCTTGACTAACAACTGTTAGAAGATACTTGCTGCATATTCAGAATGCGGGACACACATGCTGCAATCTTTACAGTGACATGGAAATCCTGACAGGTTATTTAAACCATAGCGGTTGTAGTTGATTCAGTACTTCTAAACGAATTGTGATGATCAGTGGTTTAATTATTTCAAGAACGGTTAGTAAACTTCATTAGAGCTCCAGGCATAGCATGTTTTTACAGTATACTGTACATTTTAGACAAGTAATGGGGATAAATCTGAATACTAGTCTGTTATTCTTATAAAATCAACTTAGTCATAATAGAAAAATGCTTTGGTGGATTTTAGTTCATACCCAGCATTAAGAACACAGTAAACAAATAAGGCCACCAAAACATGGACATTTGTACCACAGGAAAGCAACAATTAATGGACCATGTCCACTATCACAGAACAATAAATTACATTGAGATATAGTACACAAGGAATGTTTACACTTCATATAGAGAAAAGATAAATGTTGCACAGACATAGTTGGCACTTAAATGCAGAGAATAATACATATTCAGTGCATGTTACAGGGCACAAAACCATTCAATAATAATGAACAAGAAACCAATATACAGCATCCAATCAAGTGTCCGAGGACACTAAAGACTTCACAAAAGCATCCATATCACCATTTTGTAGAATTTGAGAATAGTTCATAAAAAATAATATTAGTTGCATAGTGTTAGAATATATAAACAATCAAGCTTCAAACAGTGATGAAGCAAACCAGTCTGGAGTCCTTAACTCCGAGTGGGTAAACAACTTATGGCTGAAGCTCCTCCAGATCTAATTTTCTGTCTCAGAAGTGTTCGTTATACAATAGGAAAGCTTAGGTCGTTCCTGATACATCTGCTAGATTTGCAGTTTATTATTTTATTCAGGTGATGTGGGCAGGTTCTCTCATGTCCACACGTCCATGGGCACCATGGCTTCTTTTGATCCGATGGGTGGCAGAAGGTTCTGCTCGCTGAGGAACTGGAGAGGGAACTGGACCAGGAAGCCTCGAATCTTCTTCAGCTCCTCTTGAGCACGTGCAGGGTCCTCTTTCTCCAAACCAGGCTTAGAGAGGAAGCCATCCAACTCCAAAATTGACCGAACATCACTGGATGGCAAGCAGCGGAACACCTGGAGGAGATGGAGAAGTTTCAGCTAGGTTATATGAAAAGCAACTTATTCATTTAATTATGAACGATAGACAGACAGACAGACAGACAGAAAGACTGTGTGAAAAGGTTAAGCTGACCTTCTGGTAGATGGTTGCATTGCGGGCAGCGGTGGTCATCCACACCTCCTTGTAAAACTGGTCACTTATAGGGTCCGTCACATCAATGCTGGGGTCAGTGTTGGCGCCTAGAATCATCCTATTGATTTCAAAGGTAGTAGAAAACGTCTTTGAACCTTATTTGTATGTTTCTAAAAATGCTAAATGCAAGACTTGAATGAGTCCTGAACCTGAAACACTCCAGCCGCAGACTCAATCCAAAACGTCCTGCCTGATACTCCTGACCGTCCATCACTGACGTCACAGTGTGGATATCCTCATAAATGACAGCCACCTCACTGTCTCTCTTACCCAGCATGCTCCGGTCATTGATATTGGCAGAGCCTGATGGATGCAATATACATTTTTGATTATTATGATGAAAGTACTGAAAATGCATTAAACATTTGGACTACAATACTACATCTTAACAGCAGGAGGAGGCATTTCATCGCTGTCATTCTCTGATATTAACAGTTTACTTCACATTACCACAAATTATGACAGCAGCAGTTTCATGATTGCCACATCATTTCTACTAGCACAAGTGTACAGACGATACACAGTCATTATGCTTTTTTCCTGTCTGCAAATATCTATTTTTACTCACCAATGATGACAGTGTTGTCGTCGGCAATAAGCATCTTGCTGTGCACATATATCAGTTCAGTCACCAGCCTTCCCTCCAGCTCAGCGTGGGTCCTCAGACCCCCGAATGAGATGTAATTTATCCACTGATCACCCACTGCAGAGACAGATAGAGAGACAGCTAATGGGTTTGGGTTTTTTATACATTCATGTTCCGGTTTCATTTGATGTTTACAAGGAATAGTTTACAGTAATAGTTCAGCCAAAAATAAACATTGTGTCATTTACCTTTATAACTTATTCATCTGTGGAAAAAATATTTTGAGAAATGTATTTTTTTTTTAGTTTAGTTTAACTTAGCTTAACTTAACTTGATGCACTAAAATAATAAAACTAAAATTGAAAATTAAAAACTACTGTATATAAACATAGAAAAAAGAAAATTGACAAAAACAACTAAATTAATAAAACTAACAAAAAAGAAAACTATTCAGCAAGCATCCATTTTATTTTTTCTGTATGCTTATACTGAGATATATTGATTTATTTTGGTTAAAACAATCCCATAAAATTCTATTTAACTTTTGCACCTTTTTCAAACAATTTCACACTGTTTTTGAAGCAGTAATTACAATAATAATGAACTTTGCAACATTGACATTGTCACTGAACTTAACTGAATAAACACTGAACTGAACTGAATAATGAAAACTAGCCTAATTTTCTTCTGTAGAGCTGCTTTACAGCTAAAAATCGAAATGGTTTCGTAATTGATGAATTTTGCAACATTAAGACCATTGTTTTCCTTTGTATTACTGTGAAGCTGCTTTAAAACAATCTGTATTGTATAAAGTGCTATATAAATAAACCTGACTTAATCCAATAATTTATTTCAGTAATACTGTAAGTACCTTGAGTGAATGCAAATCGTTTTGGATGAAAGTGTCTGCCAAGTGCATAAAATGCAAACAATTATTATAAGCCAACTTTATTTTGGAGCATAAATCATCAAATATCAAAAACATGATGATCACAGGCACAGAGGTTAGACTTAAAGGATTTTCAGGTTCAGCGTCGTTGCGTTAGTTTAAAGTCATTTAATTTCGACGGGACATGACCGAGCATGGTGATGTCTGAGTAATTAGTCTGTCCATTTCCACAAGTTTAACCCATTTGCTCTGTGAGAAATTGGACTTTCACATGTATTTCTGCAACTCTCACATTCACACCGCATGAGGTGCTCAACAGAGGCAAGAGACATTTCCTTCCTCTGAAACTTTATCCGCTGGTGTTACAGTTGTACAATGTCACAGAAAAAAGAATGTGTTACATACACCTTAATCTCATATTTCCCTATATTTCTTTTACATATAACTAACTTTTTGTATATTTTTGCACCATTGATTTTTTTCTCATCCAGTTTTATTTGAGCAGAAGGATGTGCAGTTCTACAACACAACTCAGTATTTATAACCACACCAGACCAATGATACACCCACAATCAAGCTCCTACACCTTCAGAGAACAGCGATATGTATCTGTATTTGGGACAGTGCAGGAACGCTCGGATCCAGTGAAGCTGCAACAGAACACCAACGACGTGCTGGATAATTCAAACACAAAGAGAAACTCCATTCCTTCCTTTCTCATGGCGGGGTTAATGGGTAGACTGACTGTTCTTCACCACATCGTGACACTGCAGCAGTGTGTTTGACTGCAAGTAGATGGTGCACGATAAAAAAAACACCTACATATTGCGTACTTCTCCACAAGGTCTTTCACAACAAACCACTGTGACTTTGTCTTTTACTGTACTATGAATTAAGAACCACAAGAGGGCACTGTTGTGTTTTAATGTTCTTAAAGGGGTCATAGGATGCCCATTTTCCACAAGTTGATATGATTCTTTGGGGTCTTAATGAAAAGCCTGTAACATAGTTTGGTTACATGTAGCATCCTATGACCCCTTTAAGGCTTCTTTAAGATCTAGTATTATCAAAGCTGCGTTAAGAGATGTGAGATCAGAGTAAGTCACTTCATGGGTTATTACAGTTGTCGCTTATATAAGCTACAACTAAAGCAAACTTGTTTGAGAATATAAGACAATGATCTATTATTGTCCATTACAATGTAGTTTTTGGGATGGGATGCCTAAAGGCTTTATAGGTAAATGGTTAGCACTTCAAGAAATACTTGTTTTCTTGCTCTTGTCTGTTTGAGCCTCTCCTTTGACACTGAAACCCATCAAATAAAATCAACCAAGCCATTAATTTTTCAAAACGTGGATACAGAAAACCACATAGGTCTCGGAGTGCCTGAACTGCATGGGTCAACCACAGAACCTTCACAGAAACCCCATGAAGAACATCTGGTTAGTGTACGAGCCAGATCTTCTGAAGAATGACACATATAGCCTTCACAGATTAAACATTTATGGGTATTTATATATCTCTGTACTCACCTTCTTTCTTCAGCTGAGAGATAATGGAGCAGTCTCCCCTAATCATGGTCCTGCACAAACATGAAAATATTAAAAAATGGCACAATAATTAAAAAATTAGTAAATAAATTCATCCAATGAAACACTCCCTGTTTGTGTGATAAATGATAACTATTTACTGCCAGCAAGAATAATATTTTAAATTTTATAGATAAACGTAAGGAATGTGCTGTCTTCAATACAAGCAAAGCTCTTACCACAAATAAAAAACAACTGCTTCAGTAAAGCACTTACAGTACAATGGAAATCAAACACACTTTTTAAACAATTGAAGTTTAAAACACTATTTATAGTCACAAGTACAGTACAGTATATAAAAAGTATTAGACATGTTATTAGATTGTATAGTGTTATACAGTACACTTACTAATCTTGTCTGTACATTATATTCAGTATTTCACTTTTACTAGCATTGACAATGTATTTTCTGTGATAATCGGCTTTATGCAAAAAAGATGGACTACTGAAGATGGATAACATCTATATATAATATTAAACAAAGCTTAATTTTCAGCATAATTACTCCAGTCTTCAGTGTCTTATATGCTGATTTGGTACTTTAAAAAATTATTTAAAGTTTTTTAAATTAATTAAAAAAATATATTTTTTTTTCTTTTTTTGGAAACCATGATCATTTTTTTTCATGATTCTTTGATGAATAAAAAGTTCAAAATCTTTTCTAATTTCTTTGTCACTTTAGATCTTAATATTTAGTGTTACCTGTAATTGAAGTGCATGACTGCCTGTATGGCACTGCCTCCTCCAGTGTTGATGTTCCCCTCAAACCCAGGAAGCAGTGGTGTCACCACATATACGCGGTACTTTTTACCATCCCTGTGAACCAGAAAGAAAGAACATGAGATCACTTGTTATCTTTAGAGTAAGAGATATTAATATGAAAGACAGTTTAAGAATGGCCCTACACAGTCTATCTATTCATGGTCAGCTATTGATTTACCAATAAAGAATACCTTTTTGTCTTAAGACAAACACTTTTCTGTATATCTTATTGATTTACAAGTGTTTCATTAAAGAAGTTATGTGCCTTTGTGTGTCAGAGGTTTGTGGACATACAAAACTAATAGGTTGAAGACTGGACAAAAGATGCAAATTATTGAACGCAGCTCACCGATATGCTTTTATGATCCTCTTGGCAATGGCATCTCCGATTTTATTGTGAACGACTTTGTTGTCCGCGCAGCTTATGAAAAACTGGTTCTAAAAGGGGAAACACACATTTGCCCACTGAAAGGCTAATATAGGACATCCAGTTTATTCTATAGATATAAAAGCCACAATCTCTGTGGTTAGCAACCATTACATCAACAGTGAGGCTATTAGATGGGGACAATGTGAACACATTTAGAGAACTGAGTATATGTTCTTTGTGCCACACACCTCTATGTAAATATAGTGTTTGCTGTTTTCAATTGCATTGACGTAAGCCGTATGAATCGACTCCTCATGGTATTTTATTCCCGCTGACCAGTCCGAGGCAGATCGCAACAGCTAATTAAAGAGAGAGTTAGTATTATGAATGATGTATGTGGTATTTGCCTGTAGAAGATCTGATGGGAATATTGATGTTTACATAAAATTGTACCTGGACATTAGTCTGGGTGCAGCCAGGGACCTGATACTTGATCTCATTTGCAGTAGTGTGAGATTTAGGAAGGAGGTATGGGTACGACAAGGACCTGTATTTGGGCTTCATGATCTGAAACAAGATGGCAATCCAAATACAAACATATATTCAAAGCCATGGTTATGATATTAGTCAACAGCACAGAGGCTGGCATGAAATACTTTTGGGAAGTTGAAATGTCTTGTGGCATGACATGTTATGCAGTATCCAAAACGATTAAAACTAATTCCATTTTAATTATGCATGCAACTTTTACCAAAAAAGACAGTGGAATATTTGTACTTTTAAAATTAATTTCTCACACTGCAGGACCATTGGAAATGATATGACAAAAATGCTGATCAGTTAAAAAATATATATACTTTTCTTTGACATTCATATGCATTTTAACATAAAAAAATCAGCGATATTATGTGTCAACTATCCAAAAAACCCCCCCCTGAAAATATTGAGAGACAGTATGAAGATATATTGCGCTAAATGATGCCAATGTTGTCTTTCTCACCTTTGTGAAATTCCAGCGCTGAATAAAGTGCCGTGCAACATCTCTGGCAGCTTTCCCATGAACCACCGAGGCGATGTCATGCCAAGGCATTCTGGGAGTTATGTGCCTGTCGATGAAATCTGCAAAAAGAGCAGAATACAGAAAAAAAATAATTAATTTAAATTGAATTTAAATGTAAATTATTTGAATCTAAAAAAAAAAACATTCAACGCAACTTTAAATTTCTAATTTAATTTAAAAGCATGCTAAAATGCTAAAATTGTACAAATTGAACATTGTAATATTTTTGCAAACATACATATGAATATTGTATGGATGATAAAACTTATATTTATTCATTTTATGTATTGTATTGTATTTATATAAACAAAAATAATTTTAAAACAATTAAACACTGTCATTTAAAAAAAATTTGCAAACTTTAAATACAATAATTCACCATCAAAAGGTTTATCCAACTGGACCCAGTCCTTATGAACAAAGTTGCAATAATCTTTGCCATGCCAGAACCGCGTGTTCCCCATCAGACCAATCACGTCTGCTTGCAGCTCCTGTGCCGCTTCAGTATCTAATAAGAGTGACACAGAAAAACATAAAGAAATTTAGCAACAATAAAACACAAAAATCAAAGAAAAATGCAACCAAGAGTAGAACAATATATATATATATATATATATATATATATATGTGTGTGTGTGTGTGTGTGTGTGTGTGTGTGTATGTATGTGTGTGTGTATGTATATTTATTTATATGTATGTATGTATTTATATATACTTATATTAATTAATTTTTTTATCAACCCAAACTCAACCCAGATTTTTTCAACTTCCATCTTCTAGAAACAATCCATGCTTTCACACTGTTGAGCTACTGCTGCATCAGTCCAAACTAACATGCTTGGAATGTGCAAGCTTTGGATATTCTGCCTCTTAGACAGATCATATTTTTGCAGACTCCTCCAGATGAGTGTTGAAACACAGCAAACCACACAGTGCTTGGACTCTGAGCACTTCAAAAGGTTGCACCTTCGACTCAATAAAACCATTCAGGATCAAAATTAGGGGCAACCTCTGACAGAGTCCACACCTGAAACATCTCACCCAAGCCTGATTCTGACTCACCACTTGGGCACAAGCAGGAGGGCATGGACACCCTCAGCTCAATCCATTTAAGAGGGATCAAATTTTGGTGGCTGCAAATACTGTTAGAATAACCTAAAGAAAAGGGGCATCTTTATAACCTAGACAACCCTCTTAAAAAGCGTTATAGAAAACGTGAGTGAAAATGTTTACATGAATTTAGATTCTAGACTAAAATATTCATGAGCATATTTTATAACAACACATTTTAATATCACATCCAATCCTCATCTTACAGTCAGAACTGTTTTCACAAGCCTCAACTAAAATGTTAATGATTCATGTTTTTCTGCACTTATGGTAAACATTATAAATCATTGCATAAGTTGGTCAGTCATATGAAAGCGCTGCCAGTGAGCATTAGAAAATCAGCCGTGCTGTGTGATAACAGCTGAATGTGGGAGTTTAGGTCAGTAACATTTCACTAGTCTGCATTCGCCAGCGCTCCAGAGACGGAGGCGTACTCACTTTCTTCAGAGCTCTCGATGCTGCTCACGCTGTCTGCAGGCGCCAGCCCGTGTTTCTGCAGGTGCCTGCGGATGCTGAATCGGGTCTTCTTGGTCTTCCCCTGTCCTTTTAGTTTCGGCTGGTCCGCTGTGTCAACAGGCAAACTTTTGCCATTAGTGTGCACCATGCTGGGTCCATTTGATTGAGAGGCCATAGCAGGAGAGCCTTCAGAAGCTTTCTGTGACACATAGTAGGACAACAAGTAAGTACTTCCTATATTCGATTGTGAATTCATAAAAGAGTTAATGTCTAAAACGAACAGGACATTCAGAATGGAATGGTGTTATTGTAAATTAAAACTAATAAAAAAACTATTAAAATTAAAATATAATATTAGATGAAAAATGTAAACTAAAAAAATATATATATAATTTTTTTTTTTAGAAAGGTTGCTTAGGCAAATAACTGAAATGAGTTTAAGAACTAAAATTACTAAAACCAAAACTGAATGAAAATTAAATAAAAACTGAAAATATAAAAATTAAAGCTAATTTAAAATATTAATAGGGATATAATAGTATATAAATAACACTGCCAGCATGTCATAAAACCAAAATATGAGATGTCCCAAACCTCTGCAGACACAGGAAGAGTCCTGGTAACACTTCCTATGTCGGTCAGCCGATGCTCCAGATCATCCCAGCGCCCGTACGCCAGATCAATGCCTCCCACGAAAGCCACCGATTGGTCAATGACTACAATCTTCTCATGATGCGCCCACAGGTACACGGAAGAGGAGACGTGATCAGGATGCCTCATCACCTGGAAAAGAAGTTTGTTAGAAAAAGTCTTTCCTTCTCTTTGTTTCTTTGGTGTGGCGTAGTGGTTAAAGATTGTGAAATGGTCACAAATGCAACAAACAAACAAAAAAAAAACATTTTGCAACAAAAATCTAGTCATAGTTAGAGTCAAGAAAGTCCATATGCAGTTCTGTCAGATTTCTTCTTGTTAGAGTTTGCACCAGGTGTATCCTTATGAAGCAGAGTCAGTCAAATGAATTTATTACACAGCTTTGAATTCACTCGGTTTGAATCTGTTTGAATAGAAGTACAATGTAAAAACATATGTACACAATAAGTGCACTGTATCGAATGATTAATTAAAATGCAAGTACACAGTAGTTAAGGACGCTTAATATAAAGTGGGTCCATTAACGGTTTTCTAAAAAAAATATCTAAATATTTTACAAATATATTATTGGTTATTATTGGCATATGAGGTCCAATTTTACTTTTTTCACACATGAAATTCTCTAATTTGTCAACTAAAGTCTCCTATAGGATTCATTTTAATAGTCAATGACCTGTCGGTAATCAAACAGCTGTAGGTCTGAGCTTCATGAGGGCTGATTCATGAACTCACTACTTTCATCTCACCTTGATATTTGGGTGAAGTTGTTGTAGTGTCCGTTTGCTGTATTCGCTGTTTATGCCGAGAGCCAATTCCACCTCCTTGTACAACATCACAAAGATCCGCACACCGGAAGAGGAGACGTGATCAGGATGCCTCATCACCTGGAAAAGAAGTTTGTTAGAAAAAGTCTTTCCTTCTCTTTGTTTCTTTGGTGTGGCGTAGTGGTTAAAGATTGTGAAATGGTCACAAATGCAACAAACAAACAAAAAAAAAACATTTTGCAACAAAAATCTAGTCATAGTTAGAGTCAAGAAAGTCCATATGCAGTTCTGTCAGATTTCTTCTTGTTAGAGTTTGCACCAGGTGTATCCTTATGAAGCAGAGTCAGTCAAATGAATTTATTACACAGCTTTGAATTCACTCGGTTTGAATCTGTTTGAATAGAAGTACAATGTAAAAACATATGTACACAATAAGTGCACTGTATCGAATGATTAATTAAAATGCAAGTACACAGTAGTTAAGGACGCTTAATATAAAGTGGGTCCATTAACGGTTTTCTAAAAAAAATATCTAAATATTTTACAAATATATTATTGGTTATTATTGGCATATGAGGTCCAATTTTACTTTTTTCACACATGAAATTCTCTAATTTGTCAACTAAAGTCTCCTATAGGATTCATTTTAATAGTCAATGACCTGTCGGTAATCAAACAGCTGTAGGTCTGAGCTTCATGAGGGCTGATTCATGAACTCACTACTTTCATCTCACCTTGATATTTGGGTGAAGTTGTTGTAGTGTCCGTTTGCTGTATTCGCTGTTTATGCCGAGAGCCAATTCCACCTCCTTGTACAACATCACAAAGATCCGCACACCTTTTTGCTGCAAGAACAAACAGTTCTTGATAATCAGTACAGCAAATCCGCCAGCCAATATGAATATATTACTAAGAAAACAGAAAACACCCTGAAGTGTAAATTATTACATGAGAACAGTGAATGAGAAGGTTTTATTGCTGGCGCAGTAAAGCCACAGATGGATAGCAGTTTCATCACAGCTATTGGTTGGATTAACTCACCGCTTTCCGTTTCAAAATGGAATCGAGTCTCCAGCGGTTGCCCTCGACGACAGGCCTCTTGAGGAAGATCTCAGGGCTCAGCCTGCCGTGACACACAGAGACCTCATCAGCAGGGGAAGCATTTGTAACATCAAATATGCATCAACGTCTAGTCTCACATCTCACTATCACCTACATAAATTCAAACTTATTAAGCTAGGGAAAAAAGCACACATACACACACACACACACTCGAATCTCACACTTGCAGGATGTCTGCTGCGATGACTGAGTGATGCTGTAACACAGCACCAGGCATCTGTCTGATAAAGGTAACGGATCTGTTTGGCTCCCAGCTGGAGGTGCCCTCTGAGAGGATGCGTACAAAGTACAGCTATCTTTCTTTGCTTCTCTTTTTTCTACTACATTTCTTTGGGCTTTTCTCTCAGTTCATGACCTAACTGTTATGACAGGACAAAGCAATAAGCAAACCATCTCTTCCATCCTAGTTCTCACACTTTCCATTCAGTTCTTCAGTCATATATGGTTACTGGATAAGGATATTTTTTTATAACATTTTTAATGGAACTCCACAACATGTTGCAATGATCATGTACATTTTTTAATTGTGCTCCACATGCATATTAAACATCACATACACTTGAATGTCCAATATGGTCTCTGTACCTTTAAGAAATGAACTCAATATCCTGCTGCATTCCTATAACTGAGCAAGGTTATTGATTTTCTCAGGGGAAGTTTTATTGTGGATATATTAACCAATGCAGTTCATCTGATCTATGCATTACTTCTAAAATAAATCAATGGTACCCAAAGGAAAGCTGAATGGATGGTAGTGGTTTTATCTCAACATACCACCAGTCGGTGATAAAGATCTCCTCCTCCGCCTCCTCCAGCGCATTCGCCACGTCCTCCATGTACTGCTTCCCATTCACATACCTGAAACACACACCAGTCAGTCAAATCAATGGGTAAGGCTGATAGTCTCAAGTTCACACTCTCACTGTTTCTCAAACTTAATTACATAATTTTCATTATTCACAGAACAAGCATGCTAATAGGGCTTAATGCTGCAACAATGAACAACAAATCATCTGCCCAGACCAGAAGTGAAGCTGCAGCCCTAGATACTATCGCACTCCTCCACGGGGTCAAAAGAGGATGGAGTCTATGGTTACACTTTCCCTCTCATTCTCTCGAGTTACTCCTGTGAAACAGGCTTCACCCGAAGACACAGCGGCAGACGGCTGAAGCTTTCACATGTTTATCTGTTCTGGGAAACCTTTGAGACCTGCTTCTGCTAGCTGCATTATTGATTTTTCTGAATGGTTTTGAAATATATTAGCTGAAAACAAATAATAAATTAACATAATACACAAAACAATATAATAGCTAACATAATTTAATATAAAACTAAAGCTAAAAGTTATACTTTTCCCCCCAAGAAATAATTTAATCAGTAATACAATACAATAATATAATATAATATAATATAATATAATATAATATATGATTGAATATATACATATATAACTAATATATTATAATTTGATAAAAACCTAAGCTGAAAGTTAGCTAAAATAAAGTGTAATAATGAAGTTTTAATAATTGAAGTTTTCATAAACTAAAAGTTTTAAGCTAAAAGTTAGCTTTAGTGTGCTTCATAAAACCCAAATTTGTCTTTTTTGTTCAAGAAACAAATAATAATACTAAAGCTAAAATTTAGCTAGGATTTTAAATTTTCTGAAGAAAATATGAGTGGTTCCTGTCTGTAAAGGGTTTTATGGGAGGTTGCCAGGGTGTTGCTAGGTGGTAGCTTATTGGCAAAAGTCAAAAGTACCCACCTCAAAGCATCTATGATATGAAATGATCTTTTTAGTCATCGGATGCATGTAAGAAGCAATATTTACCATTTAGATGGGATGTTCTTCTGTTCATTGGCGAAGGAACCAAAGCGGTGACCCTTAAGGAAATTGCTGCCGTATTTGCGCACAAAATCATCGATGGCCTGCCCCCACCAGCGGGCGTGACGGTAACTTGTGAACTTCAGCACCAGAGTCCTTCAAAAAGCAAAAAGCTCTTTCACTTTATCAAAAAAATTATGGTGCATGTCAACTGCATATTGCCTTAATGACCATGTGAGTTCACACACCTGGACAGACTGTCTATGCGGACACCATGCTTCGTCTCAGTGTCTTTAGTGTCCATTTTGATGCCGAAAGCCTTATCCACTAGCAGGACGAATGAGATGGCACCTGTGTCTGGCTTCATGAGGACAAGGAAAGAGTCCTTCACCACCATCCACCTGTAAAGACCAACAGTAAGAAAAAAGATGATTTTCTTTACTTGAAAATCATCTTACTGAATTTTAAACCAGGGTAAGTCATATGGTGATTGTTTTGTGATCCTGTATAATTTTAATATGAATGACACCAAACTGACCGTTTGGACCAGCGGTAGCACATTTTGCTGTGGCCACAGCAGTTCAGTCCAGGAATACGGTGACCCCCTGACCTTTTGAGAACAATGCCCTCCCTGGGAAGGAAACAGTGCAAAATGTCACAAAATGCTATAATATATCTATAAATAATTATTAAAACTTCATTGGCTTCATAGCTAATAAACAAAGACTCTTACAAGCCTTTTGGTCCCAAATCATGAACGAAGGACAGCTGACTCACATCAATGAATTCCATCTATGGCACAAAACAGGACAGGTTGTAAATGCATGTAATTCAAGAAACAACATACGGACTGATATACTGTACAAAATCCAAATATACACATACTGTTGCATGGTAGTTTCTATACAATGGCATTTTAAGCAGCTTATTCAAGTAGTCTTCAAGTTGTCTCTGTAAAGGAAATCACACTAGTCAGACACCAATCATATGAAGTTGTCAGTAGTGCATCAGTGAAACAGGAAACTGACTTTTCGACTGGAGACTTGCTCTTCCCTGGCCAGTTCTTCGCCTCCTCCCCGGGGTAGACTTGGTATGTTTCGTTCAAGGTTCCTGTTAATAGTGTGCCTCCGCTCTGCATGACTGTTGACCGAAAGAAAAAAAAATGGCAAAGACAGAGGAAGAGATCTTAAGATTGCCACAAGACAGCAAGGATGCATTAAATTGAAAAAAAAAAAACAGTAAAGACATTTAGAAAGTTACAAAATACTTCTAGATCAAATAAATGATGTTCCTTTGAACATTGATAAGAAGAAATGTTTCGTGAGCACCACATCATCATATTACAATGATTTCTGAAGGATCATGTGACACTGAAGACTGGAGTAATGATGCAGAAAATTCAGCTTTGCCATCACAGGTATAAATTACAGTTTAAAATACAAAACATTTATTTTAAATTGCAATAATATATCACAATATCAATGTTTTTATTACTGTATTTTTATTAAATAAATACAGCCTTGGTGAGCATAAGAGACATCTGTAAAAAAAAAAAAAATCTTAGTTTTTTAATATAAAAAAAATAAAAAATTCCTAATACAGTGGGGAAAATATTTATTTGATCCCCTGCTGATTTTGTAAGTTTGCCCACTTACAAAGAAATTAAGGGTCTGTCATTTTTATGGTAGGTTTATTTTAATGGACAGAGACAGAATATCAACCAAAAAAAATCCAGAAAAAGCACATTATATAAAGGTTAGAGATTGATTTGCATTTCAGTGAGTGAAATAAGTATTTGATCCCCTACCAACCAGCAAGAATTCTGGCTCCCACAGATTGGTTATGTGCCCATGTGAAACAAAGATTAGTCCGAAAATCAGCAGGGGATCAAATAAATATTTTCCCCACTGTATAATATAATATAATATATACAAACATATATGTATATATATGCCTAATCTCTACATACATTACTAATATAAATATACAATTTACATATATTAATTTACATCATTTAAATTAGTATTTTAGATCGGGTCACCTTCGGGACGGCAGTGGAATTCTGAGGAAGGTCTTGTAGGTGCGTAGTTCCCTGTGAAGCTCCATAAAATGTTTCTCCTTCCTCTTTATCAACCAGGTGAAGTTTCCATGTCTCATTTCTATCTTAAACACTGCAGGAAGTGACTGGATACATGAACAGCCATTAGAAAAAAGGATAAACAAAATAAATTCTGCTATGATTCACTCACCCTCATGTCTTTTCAACCTGTATGCTGCAAATAATTAATTATTCCTTTAAGATTTCAGCTATTTAAACCTTTAACAAACTATTTCCAAAAATGATGGATGGGTCTTCATTAGATTCATTATTTTGTCATTATTCTTCTGAAAAACTATTTTGCATGTGCTAAGTATTTTCGTATATGGTGTCCAAATCTCCAGGGCAACACGTAAATTGCCTTGGAAACCTCTAAATCTCCCGAGCAACAAATATACCTCCTCAGCCCACATACTAACACTTCATGAAAGGGAACGGGAGTGGGAGATCTCACCTTAGAGACGCTTCTCTGGGAGGTGATGTTGAAGCGATCCTGGGCAGAAGTGAAGCGTTCCACCTCCAAGATTTTGGCGGTGATGGGAAGCGCAGTAAGAAACACATGCGCCCCGGGCTCTTTAAAGCCTATTGTTTTATACACGGCTGAGAAGGGGATGCGGTTCTCTGTGGACAAAAATACTTCAAATTAATTTCTGACAGTTATATACACTACTGTTTAAAAGATTGGAACTGGTAAGATTGTCATGTTTTTAAAAGCAGTATCTTATGCTGATAAGGGCTGTGTTTATTTAATCAAAACTACAGTAAAACAGTAATACTGTGAAATATTATTGCAATTTTAAAAAAAAAGTTTTTTAATTGATTATATATAT